AAAGAAAGAAAGAAAGAAAGAAAGAAAGAAAGAAAGAAAGAAAGAAAGAAAGAAAGAAAGAAAGAAAGAAAGAGACTACAGGTTTTATAAAGACGGTTTTACTGAAACTAAACAAAATCTTTCATTTCTGAGGACAAACTAGAGATTCAGACTCACATCATGACTGAACTTTATTAAAGTGACATCATAGAAACAGACTGATGACATCATAGAAACAGATACATGACATCATAGAAACAGACTGATGACATCATAGAAACAGAAACGGGTCATTTTAGCTCCTGTCTGGTTAAAAGAAGAAAACAAACTAAAACATTTTTAATGAATAAAAAGTCCAACTGAGTGCAGCTCTTCAGATCTTCATGTGTTCACCTCCAGCATGTTCTGCTTTCGTCAACATTCTTGTAAAGTTCTTGCTGCAGATCTTCTACAAGTCTGTTGTTGAGAACCTCATCTCTCCTATCATCTGGTGGGGCAGCAGCATCAGAAGCAGGGACATAAAGACTCAACAACCTGATAAAGAAGGCTGGTTCTGTTCTGGAGATGACTGTGGAACCTCTGGAGATGATGGTGCAAAGAAGTATTTTACATCAAATCAAGAACATTGTGGACAACCCTGACCATCCTCTTCATCAGACCGTCGTATAAAAACAGAGTGTTCAGTCAGAGGCCTCTTCAGTTTGGTTGTAATACAGACCTCTGTCCACAGCCATCACCGTCTACAGTAAGTCTTTACAACAACATCTAACTTCCCTCTGGATCAATAAAGTAGTTTTGAAGTGAAGTGAAGTGAAGTGAAGTGAAGTGAATACACAAAATGAACGTGTTGACTGAAAGGGGTGGGGCTTCAGACAGGTGGTTCAGTCTGGGGGGTCACAGACCCTCATCAGGAAGGAACTGTCACCAGAACCAGTTAGATCAGAGATGTCAAACTCATTTCCACTGAGGGCCACATGAGGGTGATGGTGGCCCTCAAAGGGCCACTTGTAATGAACTTTGACGTTTCATGTTTAACTTTGACTAAACAGAGTTTTAACACGTCCTCTTTTAAACACTAATAAGAACTAAGTGTATGACTGACTAAATCTGGAATAAATACAGAAATATTATTAAGAGTAAAACTAATAAAGTTTTTCTCACTGAGTTTCCAGTGAGTAGCTAGTATGCATTTAGATTTAGTTTAGTTGATGCTGACTTTAAAGCAGCTTATTTTCAGACATTAGGGGGCAGGACTATTATTAACTTTCACCTTTTAAATTAATTTTGTTACATTTATTAATAAATTTAAAGTTTACCATTGATATAAAAAACTATTTTCATGTTAAGTAAAAAAAATGTTTTTTTTACCCCCCTGGTGGGCCACATGGGAGGCCTTGTGTTTGACACACGTGAGTTAGAAGGTTCAGGAAGAATCAAGGGTCTTCTCAGGTCTTAAAAGCACCAGGCAGGTGTCAGAACCTTTGATCTCATCCCAAATCTGGAGCTGTTCTGGACCGGAGCAGGTCATACTGGACCCAGCTGGTAAGATGAGAACCTTTACATTCAAGGTGTTTTAGACYTGATGGAACTTTAAAAACCTGAGTTTAGTTCCTTACAATCTTCAGAAATCAGGAACCACAACACATGTTGGTCCAAACCCAAAGAACCAGACACACAACAAACAGGAACCATTAGAAACCCATCAGCTGCTTCTGTGCATCTTCACACCAAGAACTCAGCAGAACCATTAAATGTGTTGATCTGGACTCACCAGAGTCCGCCAGAATTTTTTATTCATTCTTAAGAAAAACTCAAATTTATCACATCAAACTTCTTTTGAACAATCAGAACCTTTCAGAACCCGAATTTGTCAGACCTTCTACCCACCCTCACAGATAGAACACATGGTAGGAATCTGGTCCAACAGAACCAGCTGGAGTTCTTTAGAACCTGACAGGGTCCATGTGAGCAGAACTAGAAGCCCTTCACGTGGCAGTAGGCCTCCAGCGAGGAGAAGACGATATACATCAGCCACAGGCTGAAGAACAGGCAGCTTGTCAGAAACTTAGGGACCCGTGGACCACCCAGTTCCCCGCCGATCGAAGGTCTGCGGCGGTAAATCAGGACACCGATGCAGATGAAGGCAAAGATGGTGAAGAGCGTGACAGAGAAGGCCAGTGTTCCTGGGTTCACCCTGAACTCCTGGCCCTGAGTGTAGTGGTAGACGGCAGCGATGGACCACGCCACTCCGATTCCCAGGAAGACATTAACCGCGTTACTTCCTGTCACATTCCCGATGGAAGCGTCGGCGTACTGGTCCTGGATGGCTGCCACTTTACTGGCGAAGGTGTCTGAAAGAGAGATGGTTCAGATTGGATCAGGTTTGTAGTTTCAGACCCGGTTTAAGGAACTGGTTCAGTTCTGAGTGTTGCTTCTGGTTTTTTGTGTTTGTTATTTTGGATAAATCCACCGATCGGGTGTTTAAATGAATGAAGATATTTGAGTCCCACCTGGAACTGAAGTGCCCAAAGCAACAAACACTACCGCAGTGACGGAGTCTTTGAGGCCGACGGTGCAGCCAAAGTGAGACGCCAAGTCCCCGATGACGGCGGTCAGGAGACCAATGACAAAGATGGAGATGACGAAGCAGGCCCAGCCGTTCCAGTAGTCAGTGGGAGGAACGAAGGCGAACAGAAGCTTCCAGAAGACAGTGAGGAAGTGCATGATGTAATCGAAACAGGAGGGGACCTTTTCACCATCTTCATCATCATCATCACCTGAGAAGGACAGAGACCTGAACTCATTCTTGATCTCCACCTGCCTGAGGGTGTCTCAGGTGAGCCTCATACCTGAGCTGACAGTAATGGCCTCTACAAACTGCTCCCTCCAGGTGTTGGTCCCAATCACCAGAGCCAGGTTGGTCTTCTTGATGAGTTTATCCACCATGTTCTGAAAAAGACCCGTCACAGGAACCCGAAAGTGACTCGTTAGTGACCGAACACAACCCAATACAGGAACACAACCCAACACAGGAACACAACCCAACAGACAGAAAAAACATCCAAACTCAACCAAACACACAGGAATACAACCAAACACAGGAGAACACAAAAAAATGCAGAAGAACACAACCAAACACAGCCAAACACATTCAAACACAAACAAACAAAATCAAACACATTCAAACACAACCAAGCAAAATCAAACACAACCTAACACAACCAAAAGCAGAAGAACACAACCAAACACAGGAGAACACAAACAAATGCAGAAGTACACAACCAAACACAATCAAACACAACCAAACACAGCCAAACACAATCAAACACAATCAAACACAACCAAAAGCAGAAGAACACAACCAAACACAGGAGAACACAAACAAATGCAGAAGAACACAATCAAACACAATCAAACACAACCTAACACAGCCAAACACAATCAAACACAACCTAACACAGCCAAACACAATCAAACACAACCTAACACAACCAAACACAACCTAACACAACCAAACACTACCAAAAGCAGAAGAACACACCCAAACTAATCCCACCTTGAACTCATAAGACTCCTGGACCAGCACCTCCAGACGGACATGTTCACCCAAGACCGGTCTTCCCATCTCTGCTATCCTCCGCTCCTCTTTCTCCTTCTTCGTCAAAATGTCCTCACACAACCCATCTGACAGGAACAAGGAGGATGGATAGAAAATGGACAGGTGGACGGGGGGTGGACAGGTGGATRTTGGATAAGTGAAGGACAGATAGACAGGTGGTTGTTGGACAGGTAGACAGGTGGAGGACATACAAACCTGTGATGCTGATGACAGCTGAGGGGGTGGGGCGGTCTCTGCCCTGGACCTTCCTGTAGATGTCTCTGCCTGAATAGGTGAAGAGAGACTGGTTCTACTACATCAAGAACTTAGGTTCTGTCTGAACAAGAACCAAAATCCGAACCAGAGGAAGTCTTCTGATTTAACATGAAACCACATCAGGGGAGACTACCAAGGCCCAGAGAAGGGTCCAAAGTTCTCTGGTTCCATCACAGTTCAGACCCGACCCTAATGGAGCTCAGCTTCAGACTGGACTTCAGAACATCTGAGCCTCGGGTTTGAACCTGAGTCCTGACCCACCTTACTGGTCTCAGGTCCTGAAGGAGGGTTTGTTGAGCAGAGTGAATGCATGCAGTCAGAATGTGGATCACATTGACTCCTGGTCCTACAGAGACCGGTCAGATCTGGACCGGGTTAGAAAGACCTGTCTGACTTGGACTGGGTTAGTAGGATCAGTCTGAACTAGACTGGGTTAGAAGGACCAGTCTGATCTGGGAATGAGTTAGTAGRGTCAGTCTGAACTAGRCCAGGTCAGTCAGTAGGACCAGTCAGAACTGGACCAAGTTAGAAGGACCTGACTGATTTGGACCATGTCAGTAGGGTCAGTCTGAACTAGACCAGGTTAGAAGGACCAGTCAGAACTAGACCGGGTCAGGGTGTTAGGTGCTGCAGTCACTCTGTTGCTTTAAGTGTTGAAACACTTCAAAGCAAACGTTTCAGCAAAAATTCTTACCAAACAGCTGTTTGTCTGATCAAAACAAAAAGGTCTGTCAGTCCAGAACCAACAGAACCAACAACACCTGAAACCACTGAAAGTTCTGCTCTGTCTTACCTGTCTTGATGAATCCACCTGTAACAACAGAAAACAAACAGAACAGTTAGACTACAGCTGGATTTGAGAGGATGGGAGGACATAAAGACAGAAGCCAAAGGACAGAAGGACATAAAACAGAGGACAGGAGGACATAAAAACAGCTTACCCACTTCCTGAAGCAACAGAGCTGAAGAAAAGAAACAGATGAGAGAAACATGAAGCTGAAGCAAAAGTTCTGAACACTATAAAAGAGCATAACATGAGCTAACAGGGGTCTAACAGGGTCTAACGGGGTCTAACTTGGTCTAACAGGAGCTAACGGGGTCTAACAGGAGATAACTATGGTCTAACAGGGTCTAACGGGGTCTACCAGGGTTCTAACAGTGTCTAACAGGAGATAACTATGGTCTAACAGTGTCTAACAGGAGACAACTATGGTCTAACAGGGTCTACCAGGGTTCTAACAGTGTCTAACAGGAGATAACTATGGTCTAACAGGGTCTACCAGGGTTCTAACAGGGTCTAACAGGAGATAACTATGGTCTAACAGGGTCTACCAGGGTTCTAACAGGATATAACTATGGTCTAACGGGGTCTACCAGGGTTCTAACAGTGTCTAACAGGAGATTACTATGGTCTAACAGGGTCTAACAGGAGATAACTATAGTTTAACAGGAGCTCACGGGGTCTAACTGGGTCTATTAGGAGTTAACTAGGGTCTAACATGGTCTAATAGGAGATAACTATGGTCTAACTGGGTCTAACAGGAGATAACTATGGTCTAACAGGGTCTACCAGGGTTCTAACAGGGTCTAACAGGAGATAACTATGGTCTAACAGGGTCTAATAGGAGATAACAGGGTCTAACTGGGTCTGAAAGGAGTTAACTATAGTTTTAACACGAGCTAACATGGTCTAACTGGGTCTAACAGGGTCTAACAGGAGATAACTATGGTCTAACTGGGTCTAACAGAGTCTAACATGAGCTAACAGGGTCTAACAGGAGATAGTTATGGTCTAACTGGGTCTAACATGAGATAACTATAATCTAACATAAGCTAACAGGGTCTAACAGGGTCTGAAAGGAGTTAACTATAGTTTAACAGGCGCTAACTAGTTTTAACTTGTTCTGACAGGAGATAACAGGAGATAACCACAGTCTAACAGGGTCTAACAGGGTCTAGCATGAGCTAACAAGATCTAACTGGGTCTAACAGGGTCTGAAAGGAGTTAACTATAGTTTAACAGGAGCTAACAGGGTCTAACAGGGTCTATTAGGAGTTAACTCTAAAAGGGTCTAGTGTCTATCAGGAGCTAACAGGGTCTAACAGAGTCTAACAGGGTCTAGGTTTTTTTCTACTCCTCAGAAAGTCTTTAGGTTCTGCAGGACCTTGTTATTCATGCATTCATTCAGATCAGGCAGGTCAAAGCACAGAAAAATTTGAACATGCAGAACGGTGGTTCTGGAGGACCAGACTGGACTCTGCTGCAGTTGATCCAACAGATGTGATATGAAGGATCATCAGAACCACCTGACATGTAAACACAACACCAGCTGGTACTGATACAGTTCTGTCCACTGACACCAACATGGCTTAGGTTCTTAAAACCCTTCTAGTTCGATGACTTCYTGTTTGGATGTAAGGCTCTGACTGGTTCAGGTGTGTCAGCAGGAAAACTTTACCTGAGGGTTTACGCCCAGGAGACTGGAGACATGTTACACAAACTTCTCCACAGTTTTTAAACATAAAGGTAAAAGCCAGAAACTGGAACATTCAAAACAGACTCGACCAATAGGAGGTCAGCTGACAGCAGGAAACAGCAGCAGGAGAGGTCAAAGGTCAGACAGGTGAAGGCATGTCCTCACACCTGTCCATCTCCTCCTGTCCCAGTACGGCTCCTGGAGCTCCACGTAGAAACTGGCCTTCTTATCGTACTCCTCCTGGTCAATGATTCTAACGGGTATGGTTTTCCTGTGGGGGCCGGGGGGTCAGAAGTCAGGGGACATGCATTAGTTCACAAACACACAGGTGAAGAGATGACATCACCTCACCTGCCTGCAGGTAACATGGATCAGAGTCATAGAAAAAAGCGATGAAGCAGAAAAACAGCTGACTTGACAGAAAGTTTAGACAAATTTTCCACAACTTTTCCTAAAATTTCTCCCCAACTTCTGTGATGTTTTTTCTAAAATAACACCTAAATTTTACTAAAAATAATCTCCTTGTAAAAGTTTTTTTGAAATCACCTGAAATTTATCAAAAAAATTCTTACAAACAACTCATTTTTGCTGAATTATTCATCCAATTAGACTTTTTAAAGTTTCGGATGAGTTTTATTGTTTTTCTGAAACAAAGTGAATGTTTCCTGCGAGGAGCTGAGGTGGGTCAGGTTAACAGAGGTCAAAGGTTAGTTMAGAGGTGGGCGGAGTCAGGGCAGCAGGGCCCCACCTTTCCGTTCACTCATCTCCAGCAGCTGAGGCTCCCCGATTTCTAGGAAGAAGTTCTTGTTCTTCTCGTATTCCTCATCATCGATTATTTGGATCTGAATTATTTTACTACGACAGAAAAAAGCAGAACAAATGTTGCCGAAGAAGAATACAGATGTGAGGAGCAGAAAGGTGAAGAAGAAGAAAACAAAGTGACATCAACAAACCAGAACAGAAGAATGTTCTGGAATCTACAGATTTGTATACAAAGAGATGAAAAGTAGATTTTATTTTTGCGTTCTCCAGCAGCAGCTTGATGTTTGTGAAGTTCCTTAACCGAGTGGATCAGAACCTGCTGGAACTCAGAACTACTGAGATTTTACCATTCAGAACCTACAGAACTTCATACGGTTTGGTATAATCTGGGTTGGTTCAGTCGGGTTTGGTACAGTCTGGTTTGTTACAGTCTGGTTTGGTACAGTCTGGTTTGATACAGTCTGGTTTGGTATAATCTGGTTTGGTATAATCTGGTTTGGTACAGTCTGGTTTGATACAGTCTGGTTTGGTATAGTCTGGTTTGGTACAGTCTGGTTTGATACAGTCTGGTTTGGTATAATCTGGTTTGGTACAGTCTGGTTTGGTACAGTCTGGTTTGGTACAGTCTGGTTTGGCATAATCTGGTTTGGTACAGTCCGGTTTGATACAGTCTGGTTTGGCATAATCTGGTTTGGTACATTCTGGTTTGGTTCAGTCTGGGTTGGTACAGTCTGGTTTGGTTCAGTCTGGGTTGGTACAGTCTGGTTTGGTGCAGTCTGGTTTGATGCAGTCTGGTTTGATGCAGTCTGGTTTGATGCAGTCTGGTTTAGTAACTTTATTTTTAGACAAATGTGAATGAAATGATTTTTGATGTGATCAAACGTTTATGATGGAGTTCTTTCTTTTTCTCTCTCTCTCTCTCTCTCTCTCTCTCTCTCTCTCTCTCTCTCTCTCTCTCTCTCTCTCTCTCTCTCTCTCT